ATAATTAGAAGAGCCAGGCACGGCGCGTCAGAGACTTCCCGCTCCCTGACGGCTTCGAGCGACCCGGGGTCAAGTTTCTGACCCTTCCGGAGTACCGCGGTGTGGTGCAAATGATGCTGTCGGATGCTGGGCAAGGAGACCACGTTTACGTGCGAGCCTACAGCTTCGACAGCAAGCCCTTGGTTGGAGCCCTCGTGTCCTCGCTGGAGCGAGGCGCCCGAGCTCACGTGCTGGCCGACAACTCGCAGACGAGTCGGACCAAGCTCCAGCTGCAGTCCCTCAAGGAGCTAGGGTCGGCTGGTGTCCAGGTCCGTGTCGGCAAAGGCACCTCGGTCAAGGCGGCCTACGCCTCTGAGAACCGGACGGACGTGAGCATCGGTGCGGGCCTCGCGGGCATCCACCATGCCAAGTCGGTGCTCGTGACGAGGCCGGACTCCACAGTTAGTGCCGTGATAGGAAGCCTAAATTTTAGTGCTAGTTCACGGGCTAACGCGGAGGTCGGCATCGCGGTCGCCAGTGTGCTGACCTCTGAATTCAGCCAAAAGTGGTTGGATTCGTTCGGCACCGAGTGGTCCAAGGCGCTGAAGCTCGAGGAGTTCGAAGCGCCTCAGCGGAACCAGCGCGGGCGGGCAGCAGCCCGCCGTGCAATCAAATGCGGAGCCGCAGTGACCGTGGACTAGAAGTCGCGGACTGCGTGCCGCCCTTCTAGCCACCTGTGGCAACTTCAGTTTTGAGTGCAGCACCTAGCTGCTTCCCGATGGGACGACAGGGTGGCGTATCCGCTCTATAGGTTCTTGACGGCAGTAGCTAGGGAGGCACGGTAGTGCTCCCGAAGCGCGTGGAGTAACGCCGCAGCTTCAGCTGCTTGTTTCACCAGCCCTGTGGCCGCAGTGCGGCGCAGGCTGTGTACAGTAATGTTCCGGAGCCTCGTGCAGCGCAGACCGAGAAAATGAAGGTCTAGTGCTGAGTGCGAAGGGTTTGTAGGAGGGCAGGGTCTGTAGGTCAGTTTTACGGCCTCCGGCCGCCCTCGGAATCCTACGGCTCTATCGTGCTCTCGGCTGAGGGGCGAATGTAACTGTACATAGTCTGCGGGCTGGCTGTGAGTGCTGTATGCTTTTATGCATGCTTCTGTAATTCGTATTCATAACATTTTTGGCTCAAGTGAGCACGGCAGTGTGTCGTAGTAGCTTTTCGTTGCCGCGACGCAATTGCGCGCAGCCCGTCCTGGGCGGACGTTCGACCTGTCACGGTCGTTGAACTTGTGTCTGGCAGAAAACAAGGGTGCGTGCTGCCCCTTTGGGTTCTGTCCTTTACAAGTAGTAGTAGTAGTAGTAGTAGTAGTAGTAGTAGTAGTAGTAGTAGTAGTAGTAGTAGTAGTAGTAGTAGTAGTAGTAGTAGTAGCAGTACTCGTACTAGTAGTAGTAGTAGTAGTAGTAGTAGTAGTAGTAGTAGTAGTAGTAGTCGTAGTAGTAGTAGTAGTAGCAGTAGTAGTAGTAGTAGTAGTAGTAGTAGTAGTAGTAGTAGTAGCAGTATTAGTAACTGTAGTATTAGCAGTATTAGTCGTGAGGTAGTAGTAGTAGCAGTACTCGTACTAGTAGTAGTAGTAGTAGTAGTAGTAGTAGTAGTAGTAGTAGTAGTAGTAGTAGTAGTAGTAGTAGTAGTAGTAGTAGTAGTAGTAGTAATAGTAGCAGTAGTAGCAGCAGTAGCAGTAGTAGCAGTAGAAGCAGTAGTAGCAGTAGTAGCGGTCGCAGTAGCAGTAGCAGTAGTAGTAGTAGTAGTAGTAGTAGTAGTAGTAGTAGCAGTAGTTGTATTGGCAGGTTCGAACACAAGTGTCTGAACCCTGGGTTCAAACACCGGTGTTCGAACTCCCAGTTCAACCTGTGTTCCAAATGTTTGAACCCAGGGTTCAACTCGAGTTCCAATGTTATGTTCCCAGCCCCCCGGACCCCCCCCTCAGGTGTTCGAACCCAGGGTTCGAACACCCTGCAGAAACCTATGCACCTTGATGTAGCAATGTAGCACAGCTGGGGCCGCACTTTCGACGACTTTCGCTTTTGGCAAAGTCAAAATGTCTTTTAGCTGCTTACGAGCCTTGTCTTTCAGCAGTGAAGTTGAACGGCGGAACCCCACAGCTGGACGTCTCTGCATAGGTTTTTGGGGGGGTGTTTGAACCCTGAGTTCGGAACTCTAAGTTCGAACTCAGAGTTCTGGGAGTTCGAACTTAGAGTTCAGGACCGAGAACTCGGGGTTCGAACATGTATGTTCCCTCCGAACCCAGAGTTCGGATTCTGAGTTGAACTCAGAGTTGAATTGTCTCGGAACGAACCCCCTGTTGAACTCGAATTCGAACTCCCAAACGACGAATGTTCGAACCCCAAGTTCGAGGCCGGAACACCGGTGTTTGAACTCTGGGTTCAATCACCGGTGTTCGAACTTGGAGCTCGAACACCGGTGTTTGAACTCTGAATTCAACCCGAATACTAGTGTTCGAACTGGAGTTCGAACACGGGTGTATGAAGCCCTGGGTTCTAACACCCGTATTCAAACCCCAGGTTCAAACACCTGATCCCCGCTCCCTCCCCTCCTCCTCCTCCTCCTCCTCCTCCTCCTCCCCACCCTTGTCCATTGTTGAACTTGAGTTCGAACTCCGTGTCCGGCAGCTGAAACACTTCGAATCTGAATTTTGTTTGAAGAAAAGAGTTCTAACCTCTTTCTTCTGTCGCGCGATTGGTGTTGCTTCTCTTTTGTTTTTGGAACTTCCTGTGTTTCACTCACCCCTCTTAAAGCGATTTCGTGGGCATCTCTTCTTTCGTGTTGGAAAACGCGTTCCTGTTGAAGTTCTTTTTGGACCATGCAGTGTTTCATTCATTTTCTTCGATGTTTAACACCCTAAAACGACTTCGTGTGACTACTCTTTCTCCTGTCACCACCAATTAGAATTTCCTTGTGTTCAGGTTGTTTTCTTTACTTTTAAACTTTTGATCCCCCTAAAGCGATTTCGTGTGGGCATCTGGGTTCGAACACCGGTGTTCGAACCCTGGGTTCGAACACTGGTTTTCGAACTCCGAGTTCAACCTCGGTTCCAAACGTTTGAACCCAGGGTTCAACCCTGAGTTCCAATGTTATGTTCCCCCCCCTGACCCCGCCCTTTGTGACAGTGACCGGGGCGGGTGCGTGGAAGCAAGGAGGTCGACGGATTGCCACGTGGTCGTTTTGGAGGGGTGATCACCTCCACACAGACGCAACCGGGACTGCCCGCCACCAGCAGCCAAGACGCACAGCTGAGCAGGCTTTGCCATCCCTTGCCATGGTCACTTCCAATGTGGTTGCGGGAGGCACCGCCTTGGAAAGCATTCGGTGAAGCTTGTGCGGGAAAACCCGCCCAGTCAGTGGAAGCCGGTCTTTTGTGCAAGCCGTCTTTGGCAATCGTCAGCACGACAATTGCGCAGCAGATCTTCGGAGTGAGGGGACAGCCGAGAAAAGATGAGGTCACCCAGTGGACCCTTCAGGCCACCATGCTGTTAGGGTTTTTAACTTGGTTGATGTGTTTGGTTGTGTGCAGCAGGATGGCTGGTTGGTGCAGATTGCGAGGAAGGGGGGCACTGACAAGCCGGCAGCCGGAAAGAGGAACCTTCGGAGCACGCGAGTGAGCCCGAGGAGGAAGGAGAGGTTACGACGCCTTGTCCTTTGCGCCTCCAGACGAAGTTGACGCCACCAGTCGCTGTCAGTCGGCACCCCCGCAGTTCTTCAAGTGGGAGTCCACCGAGCTAGGTGCCGCAGGCCGAGCCAGGAGCGCGCTTACCACCGGTGCCGCAACACAACTTCGGTGAGATGTACTACGGCCCGACGCGACGCACAATCCACTTCTACAGGAACTGTGCAGGGGCTTCGGTGAGGCCGAGGGGCATCATCACGGAGAACCGTTGCGTCAAGTGCTGGGGCAATCTCGTCATAGGGACGAGGGACGAGGACCGTACCCACTTTCTTGTGGTGGGTGAGGACTACACGACGCTGTTCCCAACTTGTGGAAACACCCGCGGTCGGGCCAGGTAGCTACCTATCTGCCAGAAGTGTCGCCAGTCGCCAGCATCATTTTGTACATGATGACTGGGCGGTTGGCCCCGCCCGCGCGGGTAACTCCGCCAATCCCTCGGCGTCGAAGGGGTGCGAGAAATCCCGAATTTTTCCGGTAATACCCAACACCCGAGGGCTTGAGCTGTAGGCCACCCCTAGTTTTCTGTGTAAAGTCCACTCAGACCACTGCGCGAAATCCGCAGCCCTCTCTAGGCTTAAGAAAATGCCTTTGAGCCCAGGTTGCATTCCGTGGTTTTTAGCCCTTGCACAAACTCGTTTCATCCCCACCTCGGGAAAGGATGGGAATCCTCGACGTGATACATATTTGTATTGTCTACTGTTCGTCGTTGTTTTGCCGCTGTGCAGCTCGAGAGGTTTTCAACACATTGTCAAAGCCGTCTGTCAAACAGCCTCGCGGCCCCCTGCATGGTGTCCTTATGCCTGATTTAGCCAACATGGGAACATGATTTTGATGGAGTCAATTTCACGACATTTGTTTCCTTTGTTGGCTGTTGGTTTGTGGCTGTTGGTTTGTATGGCTTGCCTTACGGTGGATTGTCGGCGCATGATCTCGCATGTTGTGTTTTCGAAACAATTTGTAGGAAGAACAGTTCCGGCATTGCAACGAGAACGGTTTTCAAAATGTACAATCTATTGGCGCTGTTGGAATGGGCTGTCTTGGATGCCCAGCAGTTCATGGAACACTTTGCTGAAAAAACATCATTTTCGCCGTTTGCCCGGCTCTGTCGATGTCCGTCAATGCCAGCACAAGAAACATCGGGACATCCGCGTTCCCGTGAATTGCATGCTGCCACGGCCTTGGTACGGCATGGGTGTGTGGTCGGAAGTGTATAAAAGCCGAAGTTGCAGCATCCTGGGCACTCGCGAGGTCGACCAGGCACACGACCTACATTGTTTACGTTCCAATGTCCATTGTGCAGGCATGGATTGCATGGACACGTCGTATTGTTATTGCATGGATGTCGTTGCAGATGCTTTGGCCTGCTACGTTTTTCTTTTTCACAAGCGCGCAGGCTGGGTGTTTCGTCGTTCGAATGCCAATCATAGCCGTCATAGCCAATGCTGGAATGCCAACGTCTTGTCCAGCTTGCAGGATGCAGTCGAAGCAGCTGTGGTCGAAGGTTTGGCACTGAAGTATGTGGCATGCACGCGTTTCATGGGGACTTGGGACATGGGACTTCTGATTTTGCAACTGAGGCGTCGAACAACCTGCAAGCGCTCCTCCCGGGATGCACTCTTTAAGCCGGAAGCTTGCGGTGGCTGTATGGCCCGGTGTCCGAAATCGAGATGCAGAGCCCGAACAACAGGTGTTGCCTCGTCTCTGCCACCACTGACCTTGGTCGGCAAGCACTTTGATCGTGTGGTCAGGGCTGCAGATCCGACTAGCGAGGAGTGGGCCGTGAGCTCAGCAAAGCAGCATGGAAATATGAAGCAGAGGGCAGCTGGTATTGGGATTGTGTGCCTGAAGGTCGTTTTCTTCTGTGTGAGCTGGCTTGACGAGTGCCAGGATGCGGTTGCCTTGTTGGCACTGCCTCGCTTTGACGAGTGGCAACGCGCTGAGCTTGAGAGTCAATTTGACAGGACCTTCGAGACGGCTTCAGGAGCATCGCACCAAATAGGAATGATTCCGAGAGCTGCTCTTCCCCAAGCCTCCTCTGCGAATCCTCAGCCATTTTCAAACATACTTAGTGCTTGGGGTCATAGCAAACACAGCCTGCAGAGAAAGCCACACTACGTATCTACTTGCCCAGTAGCGCACGAAGCAGATTTGAGACGAGATGGTTCATTCCTTGACATCTGTGTAGGCAGGAGAGCATCTTTCCTTCAGTTGCTTCCGTATGGGGTGTGGCTGCGCGAAGGACGGGATTAACTTCGATTAGACAACGCTTTTGTTCGAATGCTACCAAGATGCAAGGCCTCTGCTGTGGCACCAGAACATGGAGGGTCCTCTGCAAGGACAGGTGCGTGGACTGTTGACTGGAGGGTACTCCGTCCCTTCGCAGGACCATCAACGTGGGCGCTCGCTTCTTCGGCGGCCGCCCTTCCTTGGCAGAGCTGCGAAAGCTCAACGTCCCAGGTGTGCCGTCGAATGCCACTACCAGTCTGTAAGCGTTCTTGGATGAGTGGACATGTGAGAGGCCTCGACGAGCAGGCCGGCGGACAGAAGAAGGCCAGGACAGCCCTTTGTCAGTGCAGTGTTTGTTCTCTGCAGCGGCCGTAGATGGCCGTAGCGTCGGCCAGTCAGTGTTGTTGCAGTGCAAAAAAATCTTGGAGGCGTTTGGAGGTGATGCATCATCAGGCAGAGGCCTTCGGTCTGGAGCAAGTTGCCTCGATGTGTTGGAGAAGCGCTCCTTGGTGTGGATGGGAAGGCCGCCATGTTGTTTATATGCCTGCACTGTAGCTGCCGCATGCTACCGCGACATGCAAGGATCTGTGCTCGTCGCCGTGAGATCACGGCCCTTCAATGAGCGAGAGAAAGCAGCTTTGTCGGGCGACTGTCTATCCTTTCAGGAACGAAGTGAAATCACAGCTGCTGCCTTCATTCACATGTTTTAATGCCTTTTGCTTTTTGCGAGGAGGAAACTGGCATGACACTCCATCGGGAGGATGACAAAGACTATCGCTTCGCCTTTGACTGTGTGATGCGCCCGGAAACAGAGCAACGTGAGGTGTATGTCATAAGCTCAGGCAGTTTGGAGTTGTCGCAAGTGCAGTTGGACATTGCCCATGTGTTCAACAGACTTGCAAACATCGCGAGTGACCGCCTTAGGACAGAACGGCGAGACCACTGTTGCACAAAGTGTTGGAAGGATCGGGCCCCGGCAAGGCAATTGAGTAACTGTGAGCACTGACCGAAGCCGAGGCTACAACGGGTGCCTGTTCGCATATGGGCAGACGGGATCTGGCAAGACCTTCACGATGCAGGGGTCTTCCGACCAGAAAGGCATCATTCCAACTCTGTGCACGGAGCTCTTCGGCGAGATCAAGGACGGGCTTTGGCACTCTGCATCTGCAGAACTGATGAACCATCTGTTGAGGAGTGTGCCGAGAAGCGCAACATCACCGTTGTCTGTAGTGTGCTTGAGATTTACAACGAGAAGGTGAGGGACCTGTCGGTCGACTCCAGTGATGACCTGTCTATCCGAGAGGACAGTGCAGAAGGCCTCGTCACTTGCACCACAAATTGGGTTTTAATCCGACTGGGAGGTTGCAGCAGCACGGGGTGGCAGCTTGCACTTGCTTGCATTTGCTTGCTGTGCTGCTCAACCTGCCCGAGCGAAGGGTACTTTTCTGGGTTTGTGGTGCCGTGCACTCACATGACCTTGCCGTCGAGGTGGGAAAGGAATTCACGTCGAGGGCTTGACAGAGGCCTGGGACCCATCACGCGTCACCGTCGTAACAGCTGCAAACGTGTGCGTGCTGTGGGGCGAGTGGTGAAGAGTGGTTGCACTCTGCGAGGTGCAGGTCCGAAGCTGTGAAGAAGTCTTGGACTGCATCGCGAAGGCTCTCTTTCTCTTTCTCTCTTTCTCTGTCTCTTTCTCTTTCTCTTCCTCTTTCTCTTTCTCTCTCTCTCTCGCTCGCTCGCTCGCTCGCTCGCTCGCTCGCTCTCTCTCTCTCTCTCTCTCTCTCTCTCTCTCTCTCGCTCAAACTCGATTGGTTGGTGTGCAGCCAGGCTCAGCAGAGGAGGGCCGTGGGCAAGACCAACATGAATGAGCACAGCTCCAGACGCTTGGCGTAGCAACCGAGCATTGCAGCCGATCCTCTGTTCCCAAACCCGCAGCCTTCCGACATGGTGTCTCCAAGTTTTGCCGAGTTTGAGCCTGTCTCAGCCTAGGATCTCATTCAGTCGTGACCCTGCGGATTGGCGCCTACGACTGTGACGACGTGGATGGTGCAACGTTTGCTCGCCGAATTAGAGCACACACTTGTTCCGCAGCGCCAGCGTCTGCAGGTCCAGGTTCCGGGTATGCCCACTACTGCACCACGCGAAAGACTTGCACCACAAACCATAGTCAGAATCACAACGCACAACGCACATTCGATCGAGTCGGGGGAGCTCTGTGCCCTAGGTTAATTTCCTTCTTATTGCAGTTCTTGCCAGCACCCACTTCAGGCTGACTGTTTCGAAGCTGCATTTGATTGACCTCGCCGGCAGTGAGCGGCAAAAAGCCACAGGCTGGAAGCTGCTTCTGCTATCCACGGATGCCAGTGCAGGTAGAGCAGCGTTGCAATGCGGTGTGTCGTGCGCTTCAGGCGGTTGGCACGTGTGCATCTACTTTCCAGAATCGAGAAACTAGCCAGACAACTTGCTAGCCATTGCCGGTATACGAGCGGAAGAAGGTTTCACAGGGTCGGGGCCAACAAAAGGTTCGTGTGGTCTAACATGCGGGTTCCAGGACGTCTCAGGTTTACTGTTCAACATGTTGGAGTTGCCCTCATGGCCCGACACGTTTGCAGGTGCCACTGGAGACCGTCTGAAGGAAGGCAGAACTTGCTGATTGCCACGACGACTACTACCACTACTAGCACTACTAGGGTGGCAGGTGGTAGGACGACGTGGTTTCGAGCAGAGACGGCTTGCCAAAACTGAGCACCCCTGCGATGTTGTCTGCTCTTGTGAAAAGTAGTGCGGTTAGCTGCACGAAGTGCCGAAAGCAGGGCCAAGGGGTTTGCACACAACCCACGGACTGGAAAGCAGTATTTAAAGCAGCAATGATAGCAAGATCAGCAGCTGGAACCCCAGGCCCGGGGATGCTCTGGTGATCGCAGCTAATTAGGAATGGACGTTACGGTTTGGGCAGAGATGCTTGAATGATCGCGCGCAATGGGGGTTTGGGCAGGGATGCTTCGATATCGCGCACAATAAGGAATGGACATTATCAGCAATGGATGTTATCGGGGTCTGGGCGGGGATGCTTGGTGATCGCACCCAATTAGTACTGGACGTCATCAGGAAGGGTCGTTAAGATTTTGGGCAGGGACGCTCTGGCATCGCACTCAACTAGGAATGGACATTCTCAGGAAAGGACTGGAAGAAATTGGGCTTTGGCAGGGAGGAATGGACGTTATCAGGAATGGCCGTTATTAGGGTTTGGGCCGGGATGCTCAGGTGATTGCACGCAATTAGGAATGGACGTTTTCAGGAATGGTCGTTACGGTCTCGGGCATGGATGCTCTGGTGACCGCACGCATTTAGTGTAATGGACGTTATCAGGAATGGACGTAATTCGGGTTTGGGGAGGGATGCTCTGGTATCGCACTGACTTACGAATGGACGCTGTCAGGCATGGACTGGAACTCATTAGGTTTGGGCAGGGATGCTCAGGTCATCTTACGCAATTAGGAACGGACGTTATTAGCGTTTGGGCCCGGCTGCTTTGGGGATCTACGTACGAACGAACGTTATCAGGAACGGACGCTATCAGGGTTTCATCATGGATGCTCTGGTGATCGCACGCAGGGAATGGTTTGGGCAGGGATGCTTGGGTGATCAAGTAGGTAGTTAGGCATGGATTATGGTTTTGGCATGGATGCTCTGGTGATCGCACGCAAATAGGAATGGACGTTATTGGGCATGGATTGTATTCAGGTGTTGGCATGGATGCTCTGGTGACTAGGGGATGCTCTAGATGGTGACCGCACGTAATGAGCAAGGACACTCTCGGGGCTTGGCCTGCCCGTCATAACGGTACGCACCATCGCCATTATCTTTATCCGTAGCACCCGCAGGAGTATCATCGATGTATCTGAGTCTTGTGTAGGTTAGAGAGCCACTGTAATTTTCATTGTCGTCGGAGTCACCAGATCTTTGCAGCAGATGTGTGATGTCAGACCGAGAAATGCTAACGATGGGGCAGCAGTGAGCCTGCCAGGTGCTCAGATCAATTTATCCCTTTCTGCACTCGGCAACGTCATCAACGCCTTGACCGAGCGAACTTCTGGAGGCTTTGCTTACATAATATGTTGCAATCGGATAGACTCGTGGATGTTTTCGTGCACTGTGCACGGAAGCACGTCGTCGTGGTCGGAAGCACAGGGCAAACAGTCTTCGTCTTGTTAAACTGCCCCTGGTTGAAACTTAGACAGGGCATCAGGCTCTTGGTACGCCGCAAGGCATTGCAACGGCTCGTCGGAGCAGCTGTCTTGACCGCAGGCCGTCACATTCCCTACAGGGACTCCAAGCTGACACGCATGTTGCAAGACTCGCTCGGTGGCAATTCGTACACCGACTCTTGGCTGTAGAGGATCGCTTTACCAGGAGAGGATGTCTATTCAGTCTCTTCGTACTATGTTTGTTGTATTTAATGTTGTCTATAATAAGGAACCCCCAAAATAGGACGGGCAATGATTAAGGCCGTGTTTTCTCCAGGGCTGAAGCTGCAAGCAGTTGACTTTGTGACGGAAGCGCAGGTGATGATTTGCAATGTATCTCCTGCGAAAATCAATGTGGATGAGACTTTGTCGAGCTTGCGCTTTGCCGAGCGTGCCAAGAAGATCGAGAACAAGGCCCTGCAGCAGCGATAAGCAGAGTCTTTTGCGAGCAGGTTCAAACAGACATACCCGGGGGCGCACAATTATTATTGGCACGACTATCCTTATTCTTTTTTTTGTTAAGACATTTTTCTCCAGTTACTGTCTGAGGCAGTGGTGAATCGCGACCCAAAGGGTGAGCGAATCCTGGAGCTGCTGCAGGAGAACAAGGCAAAGCTCGGGACTGCCACGAAGACCACGGCTGGTACCACGGTTTGCCATGCGTGATGGCTAGAACTGCGAGGGTATGCAGTTTGTAGGTACTGTGGCAAATTTGTTTTGAGCTGGCCAGTGGTGCTTTGTGTAGTATACATGGGTGCATCATTCGTGTAGAATCCAGCCATGATTCGACAATGTTGACCGAAAAGTCCAACATGCTACCCTCTATAACTCTATAATAACCCTCAAACCCTACACCCCAAAGCCCATGAAATGGTCATATCTGTGTGGCCAAGCTTGGCAGGCCCTTCGGGCGAAAATTGCTCGCTTGGAGGCGCACGTTGATCGAGCCTTTGCTGACTGTGGATGATGTTGTAGTGCTATAGCCATCAACAGTCGCAGAAAGCACGACAGTATGGATCTCAGAAACAGCACCATGCTTGCATATATCAAATCGTCCCCAGCATTCTCAGCGTTGTTGAAGTAGTAAGACAACGCAAGTTTGTTGAATCGTCGGCCACATCCGTGAGAATGATGCTCGCACGATGCTGAAATATCACCGTAATCATACTTCGACGTGATGAGGAACGGCAGACGTCTTCCAGCGACAATCGGAACAGATACAACACGGCCGGGAATATTGGAATACCACTAATGAGCGGCAGTGTGAGGGCTTTGACCGCCATCCCGATCACTACGCTTCTCTGTCTTGCTTCACCGTCATCATCACCACCGCCGCCACCACCATCATCATCGTCATCATCATCATCAACATCATCATCATCATCATCATCATCATCATCGCCATCATCATGTTCGTCAATATCGCCAGCATCAGCAGCAGCATCATCGTCAGGATTGTGGCCAGGCTGGTTTTTATTATCATCGTCATCAGCGGTGGCCATCTTGACAACCAGTTTTTGTCATCAACGTCATCAGCCCCGGCACCACGGCCGTCACGACCGCCCTAATCAGTATCATGGACATCATCGTCATCCTCTCCCCGTAGAGTTAGTGAAGCCAGGGCTCTTGCCAAAAGCATGCGGATTTTTCAATACGTTCGAAACAGTGTTCGATTTCACAATTTTTTGCCATAATGGCGATGACTGAGATGCTGACGACGATGTTGTTGTTGCTGCTAGTGATGGTGATGATGACGATGGTGACCATGCCGATGTCGGTTGTGCTGTGGTGCCGGTGGTGGTCATGATGAGGGTTGTGGTGGAAGTTTGGTGGTAGCGTGGTTGTTGTCTCGGTTGGATGTCAACGAAGCTCGAGCTGAACGGGAAGCCGATCTGGACCGGGCCTGGGGCTTGTCACATCTGAGGTCTCGAAATGCACTACGACAAGTAAGCGGGTGTGTCCCTTCTATGTTTTCCCATATTCGCTCGTGGTCAGCAAGCACCACAGGCATCTGCTTAAGCATGTCCCAGAATTCCAAGAGCACGGGCGAGCCAAAAGCTCCCGAAGCCGGGTGCACTGTCGGAGACACTGAGTGTTGGAAGAGCGTGCGTTACTAAAGTTATAGTATAGGATAGTATAGGGGTAGTTATAAGTAGGGCTATAAGTCCCCTAAAATGGGCTATAAGTACAGTTACCCTACTTATGTTAGAGTATACGGTGCCCTCTGTCGGACGGTGCCTCCAAGATCGGGCCCTCAGCCGTGTCTGAGCCGGCCCTCTGGATAATGAACTCTCGGTCCTCTATGGATCGAAGCAGAGGTCCTGTGGGCTCTCAACTTCTCAGTTGGACCCGCAGCTTCTCGTCACCGACCGACATTCGCGGCTGGATGCTTCAAAATGACACTTCTGTGAGATCGCATGCTCTCGTATGTAGCTTGCCCTGGCTTTATGGAAGATCCATCGCCACTTCTTGTCGTGTGCTTGCGTGTCTTTTTGTTACTTGGGGTCTGCAGGAGACAGAGCGGAATCCTGAACGCGAAGCTGAACGGTCACGACGCTGCCTTCTTGCCCCGTGTCCGCTTTGCCGAGGCCGAGGGTTGCCGTATGGGGGGGGGCATGGGTGTTGCTTGGCTTCAGCCTAGCTCCAGGTGGACTGTGCGGAGGACAAGGTGCTCTGCAACCGGGAGCAGGCCGTGTGTTGCCACGGGGGCCCGTGTTCTGTTCTTTGATGAGGAGGCTAGTTTGCTCGGAGCTCTGAGTGCTCAGAGTTTTTTTAGCCATGTGAGATGCGGCATCTTTTCTGTGTGACCTTGAGTCTTGCCTCTGCTGGATTTCTGCAGTGTGATTGGGATGCAGACTGGAGCAGCTTCCGCGAGAGGCTGGGTCAGAACGCAGATGCTGGCTATCCGGAAGATGCCATGCTGGCGGAACAAGCCCGATCATTGTTAGAGGTCCACTGGGAGGCTTTGCAGCCCAACACGGAGGCACTCTACGGCATGTCCTATGCGATGCAAAGCTTTTTTGCCAGCTGCAACACTCGCCCTGGGGTGATCGAAGAGCTTCGGGAGCCCTTCTGCCTTTACGGCGTGGTGTCGGCCCTTTGGGTGTCGGCGCGTCACGGTCATCCTGAGAAAAAGCAGCTGCTGCGCCATGCCCAATTCCTGCTAGGAGACCTCTTTCGAAGTACCTTGGACTTCATGGAGGGCTCGGGCTGGGCCTTAACTTCCCTGGACATCTTGGCCAACTTGGAGCACTCCCAGTTTTCCCTGCCGCAGCATTTGCGTCGCCAGTATCCGTTTCCGAGGCAGGTTCCTGGAGATCCTCCGAGGGAACCTGTCCTCACGGTCTGGGAGATGGGGGTTCATGCCACGCTGTCTGCGGAGCCGCTGCAGATGTGGGCACGAGTTTTAGCAGATGTTCGCCTCCGGCACCGCAATCTGATACAAGACCAGTATCCAAAGTGGCTCCCAAATCGCTGTGCCACCCTCTATCAGCATCCGCGCCTGGTGTGTGACGAGGTGCAGGATGACCTCACGGATTTCTTTAGAAAACGAATTCCACACAGTGCCACTTCCAAGGATCCCATCGAAAACATGGAGTCCTTCGAGCTGGACTTTCGTCACCTTGCCTCTCATCGCCTTCGGCAGGTGGGCCTCTTTCTCTGCACCGTGGCGTATCTGTGCCTTCTGGTGGAGTCTTTGGACGTCCCAACCGTGGGGTACTTCGGGCATCCTCTGCTCTTCATGGTGCCCGATGACGTGGCGACGCGCGAGGCCTTCTGGACCCGCTTCTCCGCCATGGCCAGGACAGGAGGTGTTTCAGAGTGTAAGGGTCTGAAAAGGTTTCAGATTCAGGGGCCGAGTTTCAATGTGGCACCGGCCAGGGCACGCTCCGTCGAGTTCGCAGTGAGTGATCCCTTCCTGCAGATGCAGTACGAGTATCAGATCGGTGCGCCGCGCCTGCCTGCCATCCGCACCCATGCCCTCTACACTGGTGCGACGCACTTTCCAAGCCGTTCGGATGAGGTGTTGGTTCTGGATCGGCCGCACGAGTCCGTGCTCATGTGCCTCCTTCGGCACAGCATGGCCGAGTTGACTGGAGCAAGGCTGGAATCGAGCCCTGACGACTGGCCAACGGCGGAGGCGAGCACAGACACCCACCAAGGTTCATGACCTCCGGCGTTGAGGGTGTCCACCGGGTACTGGCATTCCTGTTGAGTATACGGTAGGCTTGAGGTTTCAGCCTCGAGAGTTTCTACGATGCCCAAAACCAGCCTTAGGAGTGGCTACTTTTTTGACGATGCTTGGCAAACATTGAACAATGTAGGTAAACCCAAGACCGCCAGGGACGCCTGCGAGCAGCCATCAGCCAGGACTTTCCCTTCCGCTTTGTGACAAGAGCCCTGACTGACAAGCAATTCAGCACCTTTGCGCAGTTCCGGGCAGTGGTGCTGTGGCCATATGATATGGATTTGATCACATTCTACGAGTTCTACAGCATGAACATGCCGATCTTCATGCCCTCCTCTCTGCCAAAGTACTTGTTCCAGCAAGACCATGGCGCCTACGACTATCGCTGGGATCGCAGGAAGGTGAAGCCTGGGCAGACGCAGTTGTGGCCAGACACTCACGAGCCTCGACTGAGCCAGGCAAATGTACGTAGAGAACCCGAGCAGAGCCCGTTTTAGTTGGTTTTAGGATGTGATACTGCAGCCTGTGTTTCCGTCGATCGGTAGCGTGAAAGCTGAGGTAACGCCTTTTCAGGAGAGATCGCTGGAGGCGGTGCATCAAATTCTGCCCTTTACCGACTACTTCCGCTTCCCGCACGTGCTGTACTTCGAGTCCATACCCGACCTGCTCCAAAGGCCCCCGAGCCGACAGCACTTGTGAAGTCACTTGCGTGTTCCTGACCGAAGTTCAGGTCGTGGTTTTGCCTGCGGTGATTCTGCTCTCGTTTTCTCAGGCTGCCAGAGACAAACTTTTTTGACGTCACGCAAGCCATGGTGCGACTCTCAGATCGGAAGTTGTCGTGACTTCCATGCACCGTAGTTGGATGTCGTACGATGCCCGTGAAATACCGAGGCAGCGTTCAATCAGGATGCACTGATGCAGACGTCCGCTACTTGGCGGACATTGATGGGACGCCTCAACGTTCCCGCATCGCTGCGAAGCGAAGCCCTGTGAGCCTGAGCCTTTCAGCATGCTACTGCCTGGTCTTCCTCAACGCAGATTGGATACCACGAGCTTCGTCGCTCGACCTTCCCTCGATAGCTTGCAAGATGCTGCTGCCATTCTGCGAGATATGTCCTTTCTGCATTGGTCTTTTGTGGGAGACGTCTCCGGAAGCCGTTCAACGGTGCCAACCGCCAACTCAAAGCACGCATGAACATGAATATCCCCTGTCCTGGAGCGGCCACCGGCCCTGCGGCCCTCCGGCTCCTGTTGCTGTCGGTCAGATGCAGCACGAGATGTTGGAAGGCAGACTGCTTGACAGTGGCACATCCTTCGACGGGATCCCTATCGCTTTGGAAGGCGATGAGGGCTTATTGGCTAGTTATCCTCTCCTCCGTGAAGCAGAAATCGGACTGTCTTCTTCGGCTGTTGTAGCTTGCTGATGAGAGGAGGTTCACAAGTATGATGACCTCGGCTGCGATCGTGAGGAAAGCGTCAGGGTGGATCGTTCGGGAACTTGTGTTAACCAGCTCTACCTCAAAGATGCAGAAAAAGAGATGTTCAGGGAGGTGCTGTCAGCAGTTGTGGATGCTGGAGTTTTCAAAGAAGTGCAGCTGCGATTCGGGCTCAGGGCTCTGGAAGTGGTCTGCAAGCATCCGGGTGCCAGGTGGAGACCTACCCAACAATCCTGCGCTTGGTGCGTGGACAGCGGGCACAGGCAGGGCAGCCGCATCTCGTGCTTCGAAGAGGTCTTCGAAGAACGACTCCTGCCCTAGCCCTGGCAAGGCCTGGGAGAGCAACCTGGGTCGCTCGCAGCAGGTCCTGCAGAAGGCTTCTCAGACCGTGTAGCATATTCAATGTGAGGGCTTGCAGGTGCTCAGATTTAGAGAGTTCTTGCCAGGAGCTGGCAGTATGGATGCGAACACATCCAGGAGCGGACTGCTGCACGGATACGAGACCAGTCCATGTCATGGCATGCACTCTCACTCAAGATGCCTTTGGCAGGAAGTGCGGAGCCTCGGCTCCGGTCGCAGGCGGTGGTCTGTCGTGTCGTCACGTTTGTAGGGGCACTTCGACCGGTGGGCACAGGCTCAAGAGCACCCCGAGGAAACGAGCGTGGATCCTGTAAGTTGGGGGCTTAGACGATGCTTTTTGTGCTCGTGTGCTTCAGTGATTGTGGGGTTCTCAGGAGCCGCGGTCGACTCAGCTGCTGGTTCCTCAGGAAGATGTCGGAGTCGCATTTACGGCTTGAGGAACTCGGAGCTCAGGTCACCGTCGTGCTTTTGGTTGCCTTCGTGAGGATGTGTCTCGACATCACCCGGCCAGCAGCCCAGCGATACCCAGCGGCTACGCCCTGCGTTGCAGCGGACGCAAGGCCTCGCTGCCGAGGTCAGCCCGGCGAGCCTTGCAAGCTCCGACCGAGAACGAGAACGCCAAGGAAGCCCCGGGTCCCCGCAGAGTGTCCGCAGCATCTCTATGTCTGGCTGAGCTCTTGGAGACGAATGCCACGGAGGCAAAGAGCCCCCACGCAACCGGTGCCTACCAGGCCTCCAAGGTTTGAGATGCAGCACGAGGAAGTCCTTGAATGCGTGGCTTATGTCTGATGCGGCGGACCTGCATGTACGTAATCATGATCGCAAGCGTTTTGGCTCCAGGGCTGGTTTTTGACAAGTGACTCTGCAGTTCGTACACCTGCAGGCGGCTGTGTCACCTTCGAAGATGCTTGAAACTTGCATTGAGAGTGGTGTGTGCCTGAGCAGGTTCCTTTGCCCCTCATGGCTCGTGCCCGCACCCCTCTCACTGCTGTCCTGGCCCTCGTGCCTTGCCTTAACTCTGCAGATAGCACGGCAGCGAGAGCTCTTGCCATTCGAAGGTGGTGGCCGCCGTCGTGCTTCGTCGCCTCAGCCCGGACTTCGTCCCGCCTCCCCAGGCGGTCACGCGCATTGAGCTGAACCAGGACGGAGCTTGGAGCGTCAACGCGCGCGCTCCGCCGCGCTTCCGCTGCGCTCGCTCGTGCGATGGGTTTGCGACGTGCGCTGCGCGATGCGCGGCTGGCCGCCCCCCGTGATGCTGCGGAGGCCACCGGGGCCGTGGTGGCTGCCGGCCTGGCGGCCGTCTCTGCTCCTCAGCCGGCCCTGGCTGCTCGCGCCTCTGACGAGGACGACGAGGCGCCCCAAAGGAGGGAGCTGACGGATTGTTGAAGAAAAGTTGTCCTGCCTTGAAGGGCTTCGATATCCGCATCCTGGCCGTGCTCGCATTGCCACTCTTTGCCATTTCCTGGGCCCTCTTCAACGTGGCTGGGCCGCAAGGGTGGTTCTTGCTCTGCCTCCTTGCAGCGGATGCAGGGGCAGAGCAAACTCGACACAGCGGCAGAGTGCTACAGAAGCAGAGTGAGAGACGTACGAGGAATGCTGTAAGAAGTTTGGGGGTAGAGGAATAGGAACAGGGACGAGGCAGTGGCAAAGACGGGCCTGCACGGAAAGAAGCTTGAACATGCTTCAGGAACAAGTCAAGGAGTCAAGGAGAGCAGCAAGGATCAGAGATGATAAGATGCCCACTCGTATACTGATAATGTCAGAGCGCGTGTCGAAAGCAGACAGTGTGCTCATCGCGATCGGGGGCCGTTAAAGAAGCCAGGTGTGGCGTGTTGCCTTCCGGCAAGTGGTGCGCATCGGCGAGAGTGCCAAGGATGCTTGTCCTGAACATCGCCTTCCACTCCAAAGCAAGCGAATCTATCAATCATCCATCTGCCCGTCTCATCTCCAGACAGTGTGCAATGTGTCAATGTACTAAGCCACATAGTATCCTGTAGGCATACACCAGGCATGTATATACACATATCAGTGTATGTACAAACATCTATCTATCTATATCTATATATATATATATATATATGTATTTATGCATAATTATGCATGAATAATACCTACCAACCGCGGAGTATATGTATGTAATGTTTAACACGCTGTGGATCTCGTAGAACAGGTGCCCATGAATCATATAGCGCCTAGTGCTTGTGTGGTCTGCAAAACGACTGTTTCAAACAGCTTTATGTGCATCTCGTGCCGTGTATGCATGGTGGATCCTGATGTTCTCCTGTAGGTCTCCTGGTTGTCTCCTGGGGCTCTCTCGGTTGTCGTCGTCCTGGTCGTAGTGAAGTGGTCATGGCGTGGCGGTCGTAGTGGGGCGCTGTCACCGCTTGTACATCCATTTTGGAAGCATTGTGCTACATACGCACAGTGGGTGTGATGTATATTCATGTACATGCAGACAGATGGTCGTAAATAGCGTCTCGAGGCATGTCATAGTCTGTACCACTTCTGCTCTTCTCTCAGTATGTGCATTGTGTAATATACATGTACAAACACGGCATGCACACACACACACACACATACAAACGTATGTGTCTGTACGTATATGTATATGTATATATGTGTATGTATATATATATATATATGTATACGTATATGTACATGTACAAGTGCATGTATATACACAGTGTATATGTGTATGCGTGTTTTTTGGTAAAGGGGTACATGCGGTTCTGCGCATACCTGTATATGTGTATGTGTGCATAAGTGCATATGTGCATACGTATATATGTATGTGTATATGAATATGTACATGTTTATGAATATGTACAAGTATATGTACATGTATGTATATATATATATATATATAGATATACGTGTTGTCTGCGTATGTGCATGTGTACGTGTATCTGTTTGCCTTTGTCTTTTTATTTTTGTGCTATGTATATGTTGATGTACATACATACATGCATACATACATACATGTATTGTCAAATATATATATATATATATATATATATATGTATATATATATATGTACATACACATCTTCACATAGTGACATGGACATTTTATGTCCACGGTTACCTATTTATCTACTTGTTGGGTGATTGAGGCAGACAGACAGACACACGAACGCGCGCACACACACACACACAGACACATGCGTCCAGACTCCATGGACAAACACGCTCTCTGACAGTTCTGTGTCATGTTTGCGATGCTACCGCAGGGCAACTCCCTCTGAGAGAAGAAGACTTTACCGACTTGGCAATTCTCACAATTTTTGGGTTCTCTGCGCGAAGACGCCCATATCATGAACAGTTAGGAGAGAATCCGAGCCAAGCTTCCGAAGGGAGTTTGGCATCCTGTCAGCTATGTCGATGTACCGACATGGCCGCGACATAGTGACCTTGCCAGGCGTTCATGCAGTGGGAACGAGGAAGGCAAAACAACATGCAGCCACATTTTTTCCTGAGCCAGGCTTCGAGTTCCGGCTTTAGATTCAGATGCAGGCTCTTCTGAGCCCGAACTCGTGCAAACAACTGTTTTGTGCTAGGGTTCGGCCGCCTCCACGCCGTACTGCCGAATGGCCCGCCGCCTGCCAAGTGATTGGGTGCCGAGCTCAGTTGGTTGCATGCCATCAGATAATTGTCAAAGGACTTTGTGCTCGTTGGGACATTGCCAAAATCCATTTTGCAAGAGGATCGACTGACTCCACGACTAGCATCAGGGTGTGCACAGACATGTCAGCAGGGATGCCAAAGATGCCTGACAGTGACAGTTGAGACATGCAAGGCGCAGCAGCGGGATGAGATTGTGCTTTGAAGCGCGCCGGAATCTGATGGAGAAAAAGCGTTGTGTCGGCTCTTGTCATACGCGAAGAATGGGCCGCTGCTACATTTCCGCATTTGGGAGCTGACCCGAATGTGCAGGTGCATTTGGTAGTGTTTGAGGAATCGATGTGCATGTGTTGTCTTAAAGCATCATATGTCTGCCCGGATGCGAGCAACCGGGGATCCTGCCTGTCTTGTTTGTTGACTCATCTTGCCGTTGCGATGATGAAGTAACGTGCTGCGTACCTCTCTCGCCCATGCGGAGTCGATCGCTGCTGGATGCAGGTTGTGGCACCATGAGGTATGGTGAATACCAGTTTTTGACATCGTGAGGATATGAATTTGAAGTTCAGCACTTGAGCACTTGCCATTCAGGAGTAATGCATGGTACGGCATCTGACATGAGATCGCCGTCCCCCCCTTGCTTCTTTCGTGCACGATAGCGCCATGCCCATCTACAACTCTTCCGGGATTGCCGGTGCTCGGATGCACCGCAGCCACGTGTCTTGGACTGCTTCGGAGCTGCTCTTGCTGTCTGGAGGAGATCCGCCGTTGCCCGAGTCTGAGGTGGCATGCCTTCCTTTCTACTCCAGCTGGAGCCCACCCTCGTGTCCACCTGAACCTCGGCTGCACGTCTTGGGAGAGCCGGACAACACCGGTCCATGACTTAGCAAGATCGGTGCTGCGCAGGACCCGGAGCTTCCCCGTTCTGAATTTGCTCGAGTGGGAGGTGAGAAGGTGCTTGCGATGCATGTTGTTTGGGAAGGAGCACTCACAAAGCGAGGATTATCAGTTTCACAAGGACGTTCTCTCCCGCTGCGTGTGAATGAAATGTTTGGGAAGGATGATCGGCACAGTCTATCACAGTCTCTCCGGCCGTTTACACAGGTGCCAAACACAAGGAAGGTGAATGCCATCGTCAACGCAGCCGCAAGTCTGCAGTAACAGTTCGCATTCGGGTGGGACGTCGGGCCAGGCAAAGGGGAGTTTGAGTTACGTTCCAAAGCAACATCTCTCCAAAAGCCTACGGAATTCCCAAATTTAGAGCTCGCAGTCAGTTCCGCACCCGGAAGTAAAAGGGAGCGAACCAAGTGTAGAAGGTAGGGTCATCTATCTGATGAGCTTCTCTTCAGGCGGCAGCAGTGCAGCAGACCCCCCTTCCCCCACTGCTACTGCGACCGTTGACGCTGCACTGCTGCGACCGCTACATGCTTCTGCTGTTGCTAGTCGGTTTGCTTCACTTGCTTGTCGGTGCCCCGAGGCCCTGGACACTTCCACGAGGAGCGGCTTTGGCCCCGCCGCGTCCCAAGCAAGCGCTTCCGGAATTCAACTTCCAAAAGTCTTCTGGTTCCCAAAGCTCGCAACACCTCGCTGTCTGCACCTGCAACAACCCCGCAGCACTAACACGATGCCGAGAGAGGTGTATCTTTTCTTGAGGCCACCTCGACGGCCCCTCGAGGTCCGCAGGCGCATGCGATTAACTTGCTTTCTGACGAGTGCCTGGACAACTCTTGCATTCCGCGTGCATGCAGCGTAGGGCTACCAGCACTCGGGTCCCGACTTCACGAAGACGGAGCGCAACGGTTGGCCGCCACCCGGCAGGGAAGCTGCTTCCATCCGCTGAGACCGTCTGACCGCACCTGGTGATTTCCGCCCGTCCGACTCGACTGTCTGTGCTGTTTTTTCCCAGGTATTTTGAGCGCGAGACGACCGAGCCCTTCCATGGCTTCCACGGAGCCTTGGCCAGAAGAGGGACTCATCCCCCAGCGAAGAGGCCACCGTTGATGTGCTGCATCTGCCAGGAAGCCCATTCGGTTTGACACCAAGGACCGGGTGCCCAAAGAAACCTTAGACCTTACCAAAGCCCCAAAGCTACCCCTCCACAGCCCGGGAACGGAGTGATGGGGAACAGGAGGCGGCAGAAGCAGACACTGAACCCGGTTGCCAGCTTTGGCAAAACCAATCTTTAGAGTTTAGAGCTTATATCGTTGTTTAAACAAGAGAGCATAGCAGAGAGCATCGATCTCCAAGAGATCTTGCATAGAGCATGCTCTTCCTACCTAGAGCCACCTGCCTAAGGGCGGTGCGCAAGCTTTAGCTCAGATTCAAGATGTCAATGCCTTGGAAGCCTTTTGGGGCTGTGCTCTTGCTCCAGGGCGAAAAGTTTACATAGGAAATACCAGCTCCATTGCGAAGCAGTCGGCGCTCGCAGAGCCTCAAGGAGACGTTCCCTGCGAGGATTCACTGGGAATTAAGACAGAACTTGAAGTGTAAGCATTCGATTCCACCGAGGCCCTTCCGAGTGGAGTTGACTGCAGTTTTGGACTGTTCATCCCTTGCTAGGCTGCCTGTCTTTCTGCAGCGGCTTTGTGTCGGACGGAAAACAAGTATGCAGATATGTAAGTATGCATGTACGTGGGTATGTTGGTATGTTGGCATGTTGGTATGTAGGTAGGTGTGTACATAGGTATGTAGATATGTGTATACGTATGCATGCATGTAACATGTATATACATATATATATATATATTTATTTATGTAGGTATGTGGGTTCGGTATGTATTTACATACTTGTATATGTATGAATGTACATATGTACGTATGTTGTATGTGCATGTGTGCATGCCGTCGTGCTGCTACAACCTCAACGACAATTTGAGCACATAGCCCAAACCCAACACTCACACACGACCTGCAGCAATACAGTATGTTGGCAAGCCCAATAGCAGTCTCTTGGCACATGCCCGAGAAGCAGACCTAAACGGCAAACCCAACATGGCTTCCACAGTGAGCGGGATAACGCCCACAATTTACGTTAACTTCTGCCTTTTGCAACAGACTCTTCATGGGCTCGGCGAACGGCGAGAAGGACATTCATTAGTAGAAGTGTTCTCGAAGCGTAGGACGTGTGGTGCGGCTCCAAATTTCGAAACTCTTGCTACTGCTTTCGGCAGTATGACACCACCGGCACCACGTTTTCGGCTGAATTGAGTGCTGGTAAGGGCTGATGTTGCCCTCACTTCATGATGGTTTCTCGATCAGGCTGCTTGTGCCGTTTGCCCAAGGGCTGATGTTGCCCTTACTTCGCCATCTCGCCCCGACGACTTTACCGCCGCTGTACGATTACAAAAGATCGGACTCTTACGATTGGAGATTAAATAAACCATATCTCAGATAGGGAATCTCTCTCGTCTGGCCAAGGACACGTCCGAGTGTTTGCAGTGGACCCGTATCGTACCCGACTTCCGGCCCATAGGGTTGGGTTTAGGGTTTGCCAACCGGCAACTCCTTCGAGGCTTACAGGGATTTGCCATCCGTCATCTTCTTGTCGGGCTTCAGAGTCTAGGGGCAACTCTTATCGCAAGTGTGTTTTTGCACAAAGCTGGCACATGTTCCACACGTTGTCAGCGGCATATACGCAACTGACAGGTTCCCCGGCGGCATTTTAACGTGCTACATGGAAACTACAAACTCGTATGCAGACTGCTTGTGGATTCGCACAGGCTAGCGAGGGCAGGAGTAAACACATCAGTGTGAGTGTGGTGGGTAAATGAATGGAAGAGCTGTGCTCGTTGTGTTTTATGTAACCATTCGGTGCTGAAAAGAATGGGGGGGATGGTCGGGGGTTCGGGGCGGCATGTTTAACAATGCATCTAGACTTGTTGAGGACCTGAGAAAGTGGACAGTGCTTACCACATGCACGAGCTGTCATTCTCATGCTCACAATGCTTGCTGCTGTCCTGCTACATGTGTGGCTGTCCAGAGGTGGCACCTTCAAAAGACCGTGCGATGCGTTTGCGGCTCATCAGGGACCAAGGGTCAAACTTACCCTTGGTCATAATCAGGTTCGATGAGCTGTGCACACACTACACACTGGTAAAATACCGCCACATAGGATGAAAAGATCGAAGGGCGAAAGATCTGAGGCCTCGAATGCCTAGTAGTAGAGCCTTTAACCTTTTTTGGTAGTATTGTCCCTATATAATCCCTATATACCCAAAAAGGTTAACCTTTAGTTCCTCATGATACCCGACAAGTAGAGATATCGTTGACACTGGCCAATTTGCTAGCTTTCAGACCCCGAGCCATCCTCCTGCTGCAGGTGGGGGAGTTGGGGCATAGGGTTTAGGGTTGAGGGTTTTTGGTTTGAGGTGTAGGGCATTGTAGGGCGCATGGGGTTGAGGGTTTGGGCTCCAGGGTTTTTGGGGGATTGGGGCTTGGGGTTGCTTTTTCAGCAGGGGAGCGAAATTCTTATTACAAACGATATTAGGGGACTTATAACCCTACTTATACCTACCCATGAACCACCAAGCCAGTGTGTCAGATTTTCGATGTTCTACCTGTGTGGGAAAGCCAGGCTCCTCTGCGTAGGCATTCAACACAAGCTTCTCGCAGCTCAAGCGCACACAAGCTGCCCGGATTAGTTGACAAAGTTATGTCCGGATGTCTTTTCACTTTGCATGCGAGGGAGCCGTAGCCCGCACTATCTGCCGGGTGTCCCGGTTCAAAGGGGTTCGGTGTGACGTAAGAAGATGAGAGCCCAATCAAGTAATTCCCATTCAAGCTCAGCATTAGTACCAACCCAGTTGCTGCTCAGCACTAGTACCAACCCAGTTGCTTGTGTAGTTACTGGTATGTGCGCAGTTCGCAGCCTGCTCTCAAATTCGGTCTGAAACCCGCACCTTCGACGCGCAAGCCTTTCACCTGATTCTCACAGGGAAGTCGTGTTTTTTTGCTAGGGGTCTCTGCACTTTGCTCACACCGGGATGCTTCGGGGGTAGGGATGGTTCTTGATGTCATTGCACGGGCCGCTCATCCTTTGCAGGCATGCCGATTTTTGGAAAACTTCGAGCAGGCCTGGTCGCAGTTGATATGTTTTCCTTGCTGATGAACGTTGGGCTGAGCTTGCTGAGGCTCGGTATTTAAATAGGCGTTGTAGGCAGCATGGCTCTAGAAGACAAATTTCATGTTGCAGCAGCTTCAAGCTAGTTG